TGTTCACTTCAGAATCCAGGTGCCAGGAACCCAAAGATCAATGGGCAAAAGGGATTTAGGGCAAGTTAAGTGCCCACAATTAAATTAACCTCTTCATTGAAGATTTCAGCCAGATGAGTTTTGGTTGAATGATTGTGGACCTAGACAACTAGCACTCAGGTAAAGCAGAAGCCAAAATACCTCAGACACTCTCTGATTTTTGGCTGACAATGGGATGCTGTAATACATATTTCTGGGAGCATTGTTCTACTTTAAAGAGTAGTTGAGACGATGCTTGTGGTATTCTTCTGTCCTGATGACCCTCTGAAACTATGAGTAGGAGACATTATCTTACCCAATTTTGAGGAGGCTGATTAAGCTATGCAAGTGAGAAGGGCAAGCTGTGTCTGTGAGAGGAGTTTAAAGCTTTGGGGAGTTCTAGCTCCACTCCAGTGGAGCCCAACACTGCTGTCTCCCCACTGATTACAACCAACGCCTCTGGACAGCACAGGAAAAGCAACAACCTGAGGACTCTGAAAAGCAAACACAGGCAGGCAGAGGGGAGAGGGAAGTCGGGTCTGGAGAGGTGACCCCCAAAGAGAGGAGGTTTCCTGTTTTACTCTTCCTCTCTCTGCTTGGGGTTTGCCCAGAGGATGAGTCTTCATCTCAGAGCTGCACAGCGAAGCAGGGGACCCAAGAGGTAAGACCCCACAAAAGTTGTGGGCTCACCTCTAAGCTGTGCCTGAGCGAGATGAGCCCAAAGCAGCATAACAAAGGCTTTGAGAAATGAACTAAAACTGACACCACTGAAAAGTCTCTGACTAACTGAAGTGTCACGTGCATGGAACAGACACAATGTAGCACAGCAATGACTTGAAAACTGAACTGAGGCATGTAGACTGAGCCTAATCAGACTGATAGCCTACTTAAAAAAAATTACCATTTTCCAGAGGAATATAATAAGACCCAAAGGCTATACAAAATGATGTTTAAAACGTTCAGGATACAGAACAAAAGTTATTTACATACAAAGAGCAAGGTAAAGGTGACCAATTCTCAAGGAAAAATATAATCAACAGATGCAACCCCAAGATGACCCTAATGTTGAAATTATTCACAACAATCAAGCAGCCACCTTAACTAAGATTCACAAGGCGAACAGAAAAAGATTATACCATGCAAACAATAAACAAAAGAAAGCTTGAGGGGCCAGCTCGGTGCCTCAGTGGTTAAGTTCTGCTTCGGCGGCCTGGGGATCGCCATTTCAGATCCCAGGTGAGGACTTGGCACGCTTGGCAAGCTGTGCTGTGGCAGGTGTCCCACAAATAAAGTAGAGGAAGATGGGCATGGATGTTAGCTCAGGGCCAGTCTTCGTCAGCAAAAAGAGGAGGATTGACAGCAGATGTTAGCTCAGGGCTAATCTTCCTCAAAAAAGAAAGAAAGCTTAAATGGCTATGTTATATAACACACAAAATAGATTTCAGAAAAATCCAGGGATAAAAAAAGGACATTACATAATATGACAGTCAATTCATTAAGAAAACATAATACTCCTAATTGTGTATCCACCTAACAGGGCTTCTAAATATATTAAGCAAAAGCTGACTGATGTGACAAGAGAAATAAACCCACCGTTATAGAGAATTTAACACTCCTCTGCCAACATTTAACAGAACGAGTAGATTAAAAACTAGTAAGAATATAGAAGACCCGAATAACATTATCACCAACTTGACTTAAATAATACATATAAAACACTGTATCCAACAACAACAGAATACACACTCTTTTTAGGTACACACAGAACATTCAATGATGTAGACCACATTCTGGGCAAAAAAATTCACTGTTTTTGGACAAATTTAAAAGAACTGAAATCATACAAAGCATATTCTCTGAACATAATGAAATTAAAGAAGAAATCAATAACAGAAAGAGATCTGAATAATCCCCAAATATTTGGAAATTAAATAACACACTTCTAAACAACTTAAGGATCAAAGAAGTCACAAAGAAAATTAGAAAATATTCTGATCTGAATGGTATGTTATAAAAACACAATAGATCAAAATTTGTAGGATGCAGTGTTCAGAGGGAAATTTAAATTCACGACCATTAATACTTAAATTTTTAAAAAAGGGTTTTGAGTCAATAATCTACTAGAAAAACAGAAAATTAAATAAATCTAAAGTAGGCAGAGGAAGGAAATAATAAAGAGCAGAAATCAATGAAATTGAGAAAAGAAAAAAATAGGAAAAAATTTTAAAAACATAAAGCTGGTGTTATGACAGATCAATAAATTGGAAAAAGAGCTAAGGTAGGTAGACTCGAAGAAGGCCAGCAATGATCCTCTTCTCCTGTTTTTCACACCTTTGTGCAATTCCTTCACCTTGAATGTGAGCAAAATCTGTGATTTGCTTCTAACCAACAGAATATGGGATGTTTTCTGTCACAGAAAGGTGATGGGATGTCACCTTCGTTGATTAGGTTACATAAGATTGTGACTTTCGTCTTACTAGCAGAATCTCTCTATTTCCTTCTCAGTGTACACATCTTGATGAAGCAAGCCACCACGTTGCAGATGCCCATATGGCGAGGAATTGAGGGTGGCCTACGAATTCTGCCCACAACCACATGGTTTCGGAAGTAGATCCTTTATCAGTACAGCACTCAAATGAGAGCCCTACCCTGGGCCAAGACACGACTGCAGCCTTCTGAGAGACACTGAAGCAGAGTACCCAGCTAAGCCGTGTCCAAACTCCCCAAATTCTGACCTGCAGAAACTTTCAGATGATAAATATGTGCTGTTTTAAAGTCACTGAGTTTGTAATAACTTGTTGTACAGCAATAGATAACTGATGTTAAGAGTGAAGACACAAATTACCAATATCATGAATGAAAGTGGGGACATTACTACAGACCTTACAGAGAGTTCAAGGATAATAAGGGAATATTATCAAAAACTTTATGCTTACATAGTTGGCAATTTAGGGGAAATGCACACATTCCTTCACAGACACAAACTGCCAGAGCTCACTCAAGAAGATAACGTGAATAGTTGTGTGTCTGTGTGAGTGTGTATAAAGGTTACAGAGGTGCACTCTCTTGCACGCCTCCCTGTTCCCCTTCCCTCCCCCTCTCTCTCTCTATATATATTCATCTTTTAAAAGAAATTAAATTTGTAGTTAAAACCTCCCAAAAAAGATGGCTCCAAGACCAGGTGTGGTTGCACTGGGGAATTCTACCAAACGTTTAAAAAGAAAATAATACTAATTCTACAAAAACTCTCTCCCAGAAAAGTGAAGAGGAGGAAACACTTCCCAACACATTTTATGAATATAGCATTATCTTGATACAAAAAGCAGAAAACATATTCTAAGAAAATTACAGGCCAGCAAATTGAATGTAGTACTATACAAAGGCTAATCCATCAGGACTTAGTGGAGTTCAGGCTGGGAATGCAAGGCTCATTCAACACTCAAAAACCAATGAGTGCAATTCACCACTTCAACAGATCAAATAAGAAAAACCATATAATTATCTCAATATATGCAGAAAAAACCATTTGACAAAATTCAATGTCAATTTGTGATAAATATTCTCAGCAAACCAATAATAGAAGGGAATCTTCCTAACTTGGTAAAAGGCATCTATAAAAAAACTATAGCTAATATCATACTTCCTGGTGAAAGACTGAATACTTTCTCCCTAAGATCAAGAACAAAGCACAGATGTCTGTTCTCATCACGCCCATTCACCACTGTACTAGGGAGCCTAAAGTAAGGAGAGAATACAATAAGGCAAGAATAAAAAATAAAATTCCTACAAAGAATGAATAAAATTGTCTCTATTCACAAATAACAGGATCATCTAATGCAAAAAATTTCAAAGCATTTCCAAAAAAGATACTAAGAATTTCCTTAAGGAATTGTAGGGAGGGGTGATACCTGCATTTCGTACTATTTTAACAGAACTCCATGATTACTTCAAACATGCATGAGGCCAGCATTCCCACATTCCCCTTTTCCTCTGGAAGATTCTAGGGAGTGGCTATTTCCTTTCCATAACCATCAACTATCTTTAGTTGCTCTTGACTAGGATTTACTTTTATTCTTCCCTGGATAACTATTCAGACTCAGAGTTTATCCTCATCTATCTTCCCTCTCTCACCCCTGAGGAACGGGTTTTTATTGTCAGCACCTATAAGAAAGAAAAAAAGGGAAACTTTATTCACTTTCCTCTTTCAATTAGATCCCCTAGGGAAAACCAAAAGTTACATATTACATAGGAGTAATAATAAGTCCCCGGCTGTAGACAGAGCCATCTAGATTTAAGGGGAACAGGCGTCTCTCTCCTCAGGTGAGGAGCAGACCTTGGCTGAAGAGCAAGGGATGCAACAGGGATAGAGGAGATGCTGCTGTCACCAAAGTTTTAAAGAAACACAAACTAGGATGAGGTGGAGTAACAGGGAAGCTGTGATTGTTCATGTCCATGAAGGTCAGACAAGATAGATGCTAGATCGTTAATGTGCGTCAAACCAGCCAACGTTTACAGAAATCCTCACATACCACATACTTACTAACTACATACCTCAAGCAGTTTTGTTAACTGAGCCTCCGGCTTTAAATATCCTAGAACTCTGCTAAAATGGTTTATTTCACTAAAGGTCTAAATGCCACAGAAAGTGATACCATAGCTACTGCCTCAAAATGAATTGAAAGAAACATATTCGTTTCTATTATTTAGTTACCCTGATATGCTTAACATACTGCGATGATGTCTGCTATTCCCTCTCTTACAGAGGTCCCACTAAATGTCAGTACCATTCTTCACAGACACCTTAACAGTCTCCGGAAAGTCACATGAAGTGCAAAAGACTAACGATTTCACTTAGAGACCCAACCAAAGATGTTCAAGATGAGACCTTTTAGCTTGATCACTTCAAGCGTGATGCTCTCCGATGTTAAATTCTTACTATCTTACTTATTTCATCCGAATTACACACAAAAGCAAACACTTACCAACCAACACAACAAGTCTGTATTTCTCATGAGTTTGTCGCCGATAGGGGGTGACTTCCTCATATGTGGGTACATCAGCTGTGTCATACTGATCACTCTTCTTGCATTCATACATGGATTTATTTGTTTTCTTATCTTTTCTACTAAGACGGAAACTTCTTCTAAAACCAGCTGCAAGTACAAAAAAAAACACATATTTTTAGCAACAACTGAAAAAAGAAACCCCCAAAAAACAAAAATAAAAACACCCTCAAAGTTGGGTCGGATTTTATTTACCATAATATCATTACCAGTGCAGTTAGTAAGAGGAAAAAAAAAAACCCAGATATTACACAATCTCATTACAACAACAATTTATAAGAGAATCATCTAACATTTAATTATATAGTTATAATAATGTAAATTTTATTTGGTTCTAAATCATAAAGAATTCTTTCCAGAAATCAATGAGTAAAATAACTATGTTATAAAACAAAATAAGAAAGTCAGAAATCATAAAGATATGGACTGACTGATGAACACGTTTGATAAGAAAAAGTTAAAAGCACTGTGAAAACACTTTAAATATAGATGATGAATTCTCTCATTTATAAATACTAGGATATTTCATATTATATTCTAAGCATAGCCTAACGACATACCTGTGGCACAGACAGCATCTATTGTTAAATAAAAAGAAAGCACAACGTCAAACATGCCAATCATGGATCAGGCTGATAGAACCGGCCTGTCACTAAGAGCAAGTTACTTAACTGTTATGAGACTCCAGGAGGTGGAGTAAACGCCCAGCCTCAGGTTTTTTTCTCCTATGGAAATTCTACAGTTTTATAATTTGAAGCCTACTGAAATTTGGAAATAAGTTTCATAGTTTCAATACTCTTATCAATAGGTCATAGGATCTTTTACTAAAATAATTTTTTAAATACTTAAATAAGTTGTCTGCTTAAAGAGCCCTATTGAGCTCATTATTATCATTTAATACGTGAGCTTAAAAAGCTTAAGCAAAAGTTCCTTTTCTCAGTCAACTCCCATTTCATTCTGCTTGCTTTTCATGTTGTTGCATCATTCTGGTTTTATTTCCTTTCCAGAATAGTGATGTTTACCACACACACCATTTGAGAATTCAATAAGGTGTACGCTCAATTCTCGACGTAACCAACCTTTACAGTCTCTCAAAATCCAGACTTTAAGGGAGAGAAAACAGTTTGCTTATTAAAACATTATATATATTCTATATCAGCTCCATGGTACAAAACAAAATGTGAGTACATTTTAATGTATATATTCTTTAAAAAGAATATAGATCAAATTTGATAAGTAGAAAATTTAAATAGAGGCATTTTATAATAAAATGCAAGAATGTAATAACTGATCTGTATAAGTTTTAGGGAACATAATGAAGAATAATTATTACCACTGGACTTAAGAAATTAATAGAATTCAAAATAAAGGCAATATTAAAAAACAATTATCAATGACTATGGAGTTATATCACTCACTTTCTAGATTCACAGTTTAATAAAAATCAATTAAGATATTAAGAATGGAGTGATAAAAGTTCATCTGATAATATATTCCCTCCTGTGGCCCAACCAAGAGTCATTCTGATTTTGAGGAGATACTCAGATTATTTGAGGGGAAAGATTTATGAAGGATTTAAAGTAGGGAAGATCATCACTCTAAAACTCTCTTATCAAAGGCAAAAGGTAAAGAGGAAAAAGTGAACAGGACAAGTGAGGAAACACATCAGAATTTTACAAAGAAAGATGACATTCCAGGGAAGCAAAAGGGGAAATGTGCCATGCTGGTCCCAGGATGAAGAAAAGATGTGTGAATTCTAAAATCACACATGCGGACGGAATTTAGACTTCAATGTAAAGGATCAGAAGACAAGTTATTATTTTTTGTTTCTCTTGTTTTTTAGGATGTTGGGAAAGATGCATGAGAACCTGGAAAAAGGATCCTGTATATCTGAGAATCCTCGCAACACCAGCCAGGAGGAGCTGGGAGCCTTACAACTCCTTCCCACGCGGCAGCACAGTGGTCCTCAGACAATCATCTCTTCCTGACTCGCAGAAATCACTTATGCTGTCCCCACCCCAACTCTGTCATCTGTGACTGTCAGCCCAGACTGGAATCCATATAAGATGGCTTCTGGTTTAGCACAAAAATTACACATTAGTTATCCTAACTTTTCTACACTGGTATTTCATAATTTCAGGTTCCCGGGGTTCTTGTCTCAAAGAAGGCAATTATAGGAGAAACAGGTAGAACTAGAAATTCCTTCACGATTATTCCTTGTATGGCAGGAGGGTTTTCCTAAAGTCACTACAAACTTTTGGCGCAGGAATGGATCTCACTAGGACATAAATGCCTCATCCAAAGCAAATAAGGTCCAAAAGGGAAAACCTGAAAACTTCAGTCCTGAATTTCCATGAAAGTTTTTACCTAATTGAGTCTTTACACTTAACTGAAGTTTTTACTTTCATCATAAACATAGAGAGATAGCGGGGAAGAGAGAGAAGGTAATCAGATTTGAAATGTCGGGGTCTATGGCCATCAGAAGTGAGAAGCGTGATCCACGGGATGGTTTGGTGACGTCAGTTGTACAGAATAGGTGCTCAATAACAGTTTTTTAAATTGAAGTCATTTGAAAAGGCAACAACAAAAACCCTCCTATTGTTCCTGTTTCATTTTCTCAATGTAAATTTCAACAGAGAAAGCAGGGCACATTTGGTATTTTCGCAAGAGAACATTCTAAGGGGCAGACAAAAGGACAAAACACCGCGTCCACGAAGGCGCAGAGCTGGAAGGAACTCTGGCAGCCAGCCCAGCCTGCTCTGTCCCTGCTCCGGGCCAGCACCGACGTCACTCACTGCATGCGCCCACGCACCGTGACACGGTCCTGACCTCATTCACATCAGTTTTCCAGGTGGCGACTACCAAGAAAGTGGAATTCCCGCAGGTTTTGAGGCTGAAGTGCCTTGACCCAATATGCTCGTTTACAAAACCAGGGGGGAGAAGGCAGCAGGTGTCCACACCAGTCCTAGCAGCACAGCAGCATCCCTGAGTGTTAAAAAGCAAAGACCAGAAGCAGACAGGTCTGCGGGAGCATCTGGGTTCTGCCTCTGACTTAGTTACCAGCTGTGAGACTTGCCAACTTTAAGGCTCATTTTCTCATCTTTAAGATGCAGATAATAATAGCATCTATCTGGCAGGGTTGTTAAGGATTAAACGCTTCCTGTAAAGCATTTTGGCTCAGGACCTAGCACATGTTAGCTGTAGGTCAGTTCTTGACTTATGTCTCCAACTAATTGAAAGTACCTGGAAAGCAGAAACGCACTATACATCCCTGTGTTCCCAGGGCACAGAGTGCAGCAAGAAGGGAAAAATAAATTAAAGGGCTTATTAATAAGTTTTCAATTGGCTAATGTTATAAAAGAGAAAAAATATTGAAATTAAAGCCAGATCTAAATATGCTAAATATCAAAAGTAGCTTCTTAAACTAGTAAGGCATTTTAAAGAAACACAAAGAAAGATTTAGTATGTATCAACTCTCCTTTTTGTAGATAATCTCTCTAGGGATGTATGTTATTTCTGTACTATATTTAAATTTAAAGAGCATGCTTCCTTTCCGTTTTCCTTACTCATCATGATCCTTTACTACCCTGATCCACATATACCTATAGATGCTATACCACACAACACATATATGCATACACAAAAGCATACACACATATACAATTATACGCATACGCACAGACACAGAGTAAGAAAACAAGAAAAACTCCCAACCCAGAGCAAGCAATGAAACACCCAGAACAGAGGACATGACAAAAGGTATGAAATCTAGAGTACTCACTTGTGATTTATTCCTCAAACCAAAAAGAGCAAAAACAAAAACACAAAACCAGACTATTTTCCTAGACTCTATCCTCCACGGGTAGTCAGAGGTGATGGCACATTTGGCATGTCCTTCAAGACAGTAAAGAAACTGTCATTTCCAAGTAACAGTCAGCGATGTGTCACTATACCCGGGCTCAGTCGAAGTTTACAGGAGAGCAAACTCCATGTCAGGAAAAGGGGTTAATCATTTCTTGCCTTCAGGTCTTATGTGGTTCCCTTATTAAAAGGCAGATCAAAAAATGTATACGTAAACTGAAAGTCAGTAGAAGGTTCTTTGAGGCAAATGTGAATAAATAACCTAGAACCTATTTAATTTCAGGTCATTTTCAGTGCACAAGTCTTAGCAAGAGCTGGCTTCAAAAAAGAAGAAAGGCAAAGGACCAGTAACAAGGAATTTGGAGTAAGGGAACAGTTTTACACAAAATATATTTTTCCTTATATTTCACATTTCTGTAATTTATAATTAGCTCAACATTTTTATGGACAGGCTTTTTCCAGAGCGCTTACCCACAGCTGCTAGAGATTTGTGTTTTTTAAGGGAACAGCACGTTCACTTTATTACAATAGGAAAGTGACTTTACAGGAAGACTACAGCTGCAGGTCAGCCCTTAATCACAAGGAGACACTGCTTATCTAATATTTTCCAGGAGAAATAATTTACGACGGCTTGCTAACTTATCACTTAATTGTATAGCTTTGTCTAAAGTAAATTTAAGTTGCTCGTCATTTGCTCCTTATTTCAATACGACTGCAATAAACATCCCAGTACATTCCCTTTATTCCACGTCCCCGATGATTTCATTAGGACAAATTGCTAGAAGCTAGACAGATCTTGTCCAGATGCTTCTCAGATCGGTCAATAACAAGGTACATTTCCACTAGCAGTAAGTACAACGGCCGTATTACCATTCTCTCATAAAAGGACTTCTAGTCACTTTAAAATCTTTAGTGACTTGACAAGAGAAAAATTGTGTATCATTTCATTTTAACTGCCAGTAGAACTGAACTTTTCTTCATGTTTATTACTCATTTGCATTTCTTATTTCTTCTGTAAATTGTTGGTTAATACACTTTGATCCCTTTTTGATTAGGGTTTTCATAAATACACACACACACACGTATCTTAAAACATTCATGTGTTTGAATCTGTGAATTTCTTTCCTTTGTTATTTCCACCGTTTTTATGACTTTCCTAACCTTAGGTCTGATAAACATGCACCTACATTTTCTGAAGTTTTAAAAAATGGGTTACATGGCTTTACACTTAATTTTTTTTATCCCATCTGGAATCACTCAGCTGTAATCATGAGATCAAGCTTGTGAAGTGAGACCGTAACTTCGTATTTTTCTAAATAATTAACCAATGGTCCCAGAAATACTTACTGAACAGTCCTTTCACTACTTGATGTTGATACATATGTTGTAGTGAAGTACTAGGTTTTTATTACTACGTCATGACAAGAAAAGGTGACTCTTGGTCTGAGTTTGGATAATTCTCTAATTAATAACATCGGTACCCAAACAGCAGCAGTAGTGGTGGTGTTCCTGATAACTTACTGAGAGCTTACCAGACGACAGACACCACTTGAAGCACTTTATATGGATTAGTTCATTCAATTTTCATAGCAACCCAATGAGGTGAGTATAACCATCCACGTGTTTAGCAATCTTAGTGTAATAAAAAAAAAAAAAAGATTCCCAAGGCTTTGGTTAAAATATTAAATGAGGGAAAAAAGTCAAGAAGGAAGTCTGA